TGGTACACCCGGAGCCGGATCCGCCTCCGAGGCGGAATGCCCACCCGGCCCCTACCCTGTTATGTTTATGTGGCGCGGTCGGAGTCCGCACCTTTGGGGGGGGTACTGTCACGCCCTGACTCTGAGGACTTGTATTTGTTGAGTCAGATTGTGTATTTTCCGTGTTGGGTGTTGCTATGTTGATTTCTATGTTTTAGATCTAGTATGTGCAGATCTATGTTGGCCGGGGTGGTTCCCAATCAGAGGCAGCTGTAGCTCGTTGTCTCTGATTGGGGACCATACTTAGGCAGCCTTTTGGCACCTGTTAGTTGTGGGATCTTGTTCCGTGTGAGGTATGTTATTTGTCTACCTTGGACTTCACGTTTCGTTTGTTGTTTTGGTTGTGCGTTTATTCGTTAAATAAACATGAATGCATATCACGCTGCGCCTTGGTCCTTCTCGTTCGTAAACGATCGTGACACATATGAATAAAATAGAAGAACAAAATGTAATCTATGGTTCATATTGAGGGCTGAGTTGTGTGAAACAATATGATTTTAACATGAAATGAAAACCCAGCAGTGTGGTTCTCAATTGTGATTAGCGATTTTTTAAACACTTTTTTGGTTACCACATGATTCCTTATGAGTTATTTCATAGTTTTGATGTCTTCACTATTATTTTACAATGTAGAAAATAGTAAAAATAAAGAAAAACCCTTGAATGAGTAGGTGTGTCCAAACTTTTGACTGGTACTGTACATTTAGATCAACAACCCACCCCAGACCATCTCCTCTGCTCACTCCACTCACATAAAAAAGGGTCCATTCTCCCCTCACCCCAATTCCCAAAACTCCACTTCACACAGCATTCATGCTGCAAATGCACAAATGCATCCTTCAGCTCATGGTCCCATAATTCTCTCTGGTAGCCACGTGGTTAATGCACACAAGTATTGATATTTATGGATTGTATCCTTCTACACACACGCACACACTCACAGACGCACACACACTCCCAATACCCCATCTCCCCAAGCTTTTCAGCAGCTGTGCATGAGTAGACTATGAACTGGGATCTAGTGGAAGATGAGGGTCAGCATTTCAGTTGCTGCTGCTCTGGGTGGAGCAGGAGTAAAATGGAGGCTTTACTGCAGGGTGGGAGGAATAGCACACGCAGGCACCACGCACGAAGGCATGCACGCACACACACACTAGCCCAGGGCTGCCTCGCAATCGTTCTGTGGTTAGATAGAGATCATGCTCTCCCTCTTTCTGAGAGAGAGAGAGAGAGAGAGAGATAACAGTGTGGCCTATGCAATGCAGTATGGATGCCTTTGTTTACCAAGGAAAGCTTCAGCCTCTCCCACTCTCCGCTCCATCTTCTTCTTCCCCCTCGGCAGACTAACAGAACCAGTAAGAGCTTCTTTCTGCCCTCTTTTCAAAGTTGGCCTGACTGTCAATCCCAGTGAAAAATGGGGAGGTGTCATGAAGCTGCTGTGTGATGATAGCTTCCTTCCTTCCCTACTCTAGCTCCTGTAAGGGCATCCCAGACATTATGGAGATTGGCTGGTTACGACACTGATGCTATTAGCAGGCAAACTCCTTGATAAGCTTTGATTAGCACTGCTCAAGTACCTTGAATGAGGGTGAGTGGCGTCAAGAGCAGCGTGAGAGATTGCTGAGGCATTTAAACAGTTAGTGTAGAGTACACAGTTGTGAAGCAGCCCACATAAATGTGTCTGAAAAATGTATCCAGGGGTTCTGGTAACGCTCGGATCATTGGACGTCACATTTGCATAAACCAAATAGAAAACAGTGTTTTGCAGCCAGCAGGAAATTGACTCGGGCCTTCTGCCAAGTGTTACGCAATGGAGGAGGGTAGGCTGGCAGTCAAGGCCAGTAAATGAGGAGCAGGAAGAAGACTCACTGATCATCCGGGATAGAGACTTTAAGACTACATCAGTAGAATCGTAAGGCCCTTTTCTCTGGCCACTACGACCCGTGAGCCCTAATAGAAGGTCAAATCCAGAAGATTATACAGTATATATGACTGCATTTAATACCATTATGGTATTGTACCAACACTAAGAAACAGGAAAGCTGCTCAGTATACAACGCTATCACCAATACATCTAATAACAAATGCCTTTCAACAACATTCCTTATAAGTGAGCAAGTGAAAGAGGTGATGAGAAGGAGAGGGAGAAAGAGAGAGAGAAGGAGAGGGGAGAGAGAAGGAGAGGGAGAAAGAGAGGAGAGAGAAGGAGAGGGGAGAGAGAAGGAGAGGGAGAAAGAGAGGAGAGAGAAGGAGAGGGAGAAAGAGAGGAGAGAGAAGGAGAGGGAGAAAGAGAGGAGAGAGAAGGAGAGGGAGAAAGAGAGGAGAGAGAAGTGGAGGGAGAAAGAGAGGAGAGAGAAGAGGAGTGAGAGGCTTACAGTCATCCCTCTCCTCCAGCATTGCAGTAAGCCTGTGCCTTAATGCTTGAGAAAAGCTTCCCTTGCACCATCTCCAGCTTAATCTTCAGCTTGAAAATATGAAAGGCACGTGTGTTTGTTCTAATGAGAAAGCACTATCTCCAGGCACCAGAGGACCAGTCTCTACTTTTCCTACCAGCAACAGTAGACAGACACTGGCCATCTCACTCATACACAGGCCTTGTACCTGTATGTCTGTCTGTCTGTCTGTCTGGGGCAATTTGATCTACCAGGCTACAAAGTTGGTGCAAAAAAGTTTGATGCAGCAGCACTATGGCAACATCCTGACACTTAAATTAACATTTAAATATGTGCAAATGTTTGCGAACGCCAGCAAACAACATGTGTAAGATACTGTATACACAGTATGCCGTTTGCTCAAGACAAAGTCCCACCTCACATGGATGAATACAAGTTTCCCAGTAGGTGCAGAGTGTAGCATCATTGGAGGAGACTGAAACCCAGAGGACCAATGCAGGGCCATGCAGAGACGTGCTCTGAATGAGACAGGTTCACTGTGCAGCAAACCCCACCTCTGCTTCATCCAGCAAAACAAAGAGGAAGAGTGTGAGAGAGAAGAGAGGAAGAAGAAGTTATTGTATAACCATAGGACTCATAATTGCATTGTAAATCCCCCATCCAAGGGGAATACAAACCTGTATGACAACATGTTGTGTACATCCCTTAGAGAGCTAGTTTTCATCAGCGTTTTTCCATCAAGGCCCCCTCATTAAATTGGATCACATGTGAAAGGTGAGAGACAAAGGCAAAGCAGATGCAGAAGACAAAAAGATGTGCCATCCAGCCCATCCCGTATTCATCAGCCCCACCACTTGATACACACACATAAAAAAGCTGGAGATGCATTAGGTGTCCCATATAAAAGACAGCTGCTCTGCAAGCTCCACTCCTCTGCTTTTTTCTCTTTCATCTCCCTATTAGCTCTGTCAGTTGTTTATCAAAAGCAGTGAGGAGCCGAGCGGCTGCCATGAATTTGAAAAGCCGCACGGCGAGGTACATTTTATAATGCATGACAGGTTAATGGTAAGTTAGTGGCAACATTGTGAGTTGCGGTGCTCATTCAAATTGAAAACAGGGCCACTTCAAATGACTACTAAGCAGTCCTTATTTTAAGAGATCATTCATATTGTAATTAACTTTTCAATCACAGTTGATTAATTAGAACCAGCCCTAGTCTGTAATTATACATATTCTTTCCCCTGACATGAATCACTGGAAATTCAAAGGTTTCAGATGAGACGCAATGCAAACCAGTCCCTTGTACATATTAGAATATGATTTTTAAGATATATAGGGTAACACCTTATGCTAAGGTGTCTACTGTAAAGGGATTATATGATACATGAATCTATAACATACATACATATTTTATTGAACAACCACAAAGAAAATGATTGTATAGTGAAAATAATAGCTACATCTATAATAATAACAATTATTTGTTAGCTAATACTGATGTTTCTAAACAGATTCAGTATAATAACCATCAGAGGCTCAAGCTGGTTGAGGTGGATCTGTTGTGTGTGGAATGTGTTTTGGTCTTTGAATTCCAATCGAAAGGCTGACTGCGGATGTGTGCTTGATGTAACTGTTCCCAACAAAAACCTTGGATTAATAATTTAGCACAGCAGTTGGATAGCTTTATTTTGTGTCCACCGAGACCAAGTCTTCTTTCATGAAAAATTTAGAGTGCAGGGTTGGCAACCCTCAGAGAAGAATAGGTTGGGTCAAACTGCTCTGTTTCCAGGCCTGGTTGATAACCTCATGCTAACATATATTCAAACATATACACACACACACAACCAGGAATCAAACCCCTGGTAAAGAAATAAAACACACACCCTTTAATGCCCATTGTAACCCCTGCTCACGCCATAAACATATCCTCTCCATAACAGTGTAAGGTGCATTTGCTCATGCATCAGAACATCATCAAATATTTAGCAGGGAAAGAGCACTGATTCTGGCCATGCTGCTGATGCTTCTGACAGGCCTCGTGTGGCTTGATAGTTATTGGAATAAACAGAGACAATCCCATCTAGGTTGTTTTTAATGCATGTCAAGCACTTCTAAGAACTGGGTGATGATAAAACACATCACTGCTCCTACACATTATTCACCTTTATAACACCCTGGCTGTTTTGCAGTAAACATTGAAAATATAAAAATAAAGGTTCCATAAGACTACAATACTGCATGACCTAAACTCATTATAAATCATATAATATATCCTTACAGCAGCAGAAACAGTAATGCCCTCGACTAGCAACAAGTACACAGAGACATGGATCACAGAAGGGATCTTTGTGCTTGAGCAGACACATTTAAAATGTCACTAAAACATGTCCCACAATTTGCCCTCTGTCAAATGGCATGAGGTGTGTGCTTGTCTATATTTTTCTAAATGACCCATATAGAGCAAAATTGCCCAGAGGGTGGGCATCAATCGAACGTTTAATGTACAATATCAACCTGTGCAATGAATGGTTCCAATCGAGGGGTGGGGGGGTCAATATGACAGACAGCCATTAGCTTGGCTATAAGTGTAGGAAGACAGGATTCCATGGTGCTCCAGTAATAGCTGACTGAGACCACAAACAGGTAAGTCACAGAGAGACAGAACAGTGGCCCAAGAACACAGAGCAGAGCAGGGAAGGCTTCCCATGCAGAAAACTTGGGATCCATAGCACTGTCTGTGTAAACAAATCTTATTTTGTTAGCTTCACCTACGAATCACTCCTCTGAACGTGTAATCCAATAGCTGATTTGAAGAGTCCAAGCAAGGAATTGAACAAAATTCTGACCAAGATATACGAATGTTGTCTTACCTGAGGATAGTGAGACTGTGTCTTTCTCCCACGATACGACAGTGACGTAAGACTCCACGGAGGCAGGGATAATGCACTTGAAGACCGCTACATTGCCTCTCATGGCTTTCTGGTCTTCCACCCGGACCGTGTAGGGTTCCCGAAATACTGAGGATAGCAAGAGGGGTGGCATTTGGCAAAAGCAAATGAAATACATACAAGCAGAAATTAAGAATGAAAACAACAACAGTTACTGTTTAAAATAAACACTTACCGGCCTTAATGTGGACATCTTGGCTTCTTATTTTCCCTGAAGGATTTTCAGCTGTGCAATAGTAGGTATTGTCATGGATTAGCTTACTAAAGCTGGAGGGGAGGAAGTTAAAGATCTGGAGGGTGCCATTGGGGTGCACGTGGCGTATCCCAGGCACATCGTAGATCTCCTCTCCGGTGGCCAGGTACCAGCGCAGCGAGGCGGGGGGCACGCCTGCAGCAGGACAGGGCACCAGGGTCCCTGTGGTGCTGGCAAACACTACCTCTTGCAGAGATGCATTGACAAAATATAAGCTGGAACGTAGATCTTCACTAAAAACTGCAAAAGAGGAGAACAAAGAGAACAAAAACATTAGATGACATGACAACTGACTTGAACGGGTATACTACAGGCGTAGAATCTTAATTTGATCACACTTTGTTGCTAAGAATTTTCCTGCTGAGATAATGCAGATCAGCTTCATGATTTACATAAATTCACTGAAAACCCGCACTAACACACGGTTATATTAAAGGTAATACACTTTTCACATAGCCTAATTTTGGCCAGCTAATAGCCTAACCACCGATCAAGCAACATTATGGACTAAACTTTCAAATCCTGTTGCTGCAGGATTCTTTTGCTGCGACAATACTGGTCAAATTAAGATCCAAAATATATGTATGTTTACTTCTAAATACAGAACAGTAGTTATTTACTTGGCCATGATGAAACCAATAAATGCTTTTGTTATGGACCAGATGTTTACAGTGTCTTTAATGTGGACCTTTTTAGTCATCATCTAATCCTTGATACCGCTTAAATCACATTCATTACATAAAAGTAAAATAACAGGCACTGAAGTGAGGTCATTTGCTCATACACAGCATTGAACATGTATGCTGCTTTGGTTGAGCAGGGGACCAACAAGGGGGAAAAGAGTGTTGATGATGTAAAAGTGTGTGTCATTACGTAGCTCCCTTGGAAGGGAGTGAAACACAAAGTGGGACCAATTAGTATCAGGTGGCTCAGAGCTAATTGCTAGGTGGTTGATTTCTGAGTGGTGTATAAACTGAGTGTACAAAACATTATGAACACCTGCTCTTTCCATGACATATTGATATAATTTGTTAAATCCACTTCAATCAGTGTAGATGAAGGGGAGGAGACAGGTTAAATAAGTATTTTAAAGCCTTGAGACAATTGAGGCATGAATTGTGTATGTGTGCCATTCAGAGGGTCAACGGGTAAGACATAATAATAATAATAATAATAATAATAATAATAATAATAATAATAATAATAATAGCCAAGATTTAAGTGCCTGAATGGGGTATGGTAGTAGATGCCTGGGCTGCTGGGTTTCTCACGCTCAACAGTTTCCAATGTGTATCAAGAACGGTCCACCACCCAAAATACATCCAGCCAACTTGACACAACTGTGGGAAGCATTGGAGTCAACATGGGCCAGCATCCCTGTGGAACGCTTTCGACACCTTGTAGAGTCCATGCCCCAACGAATTGAGGCTGTTCTGAGGGTAAATATTGGTGCAACTCAATATTAAGAAGCGTTCTTAATGTTTTGTACACTCAGTGCATAACTTCTCCTGGCTGAGCATGGCCCTGTGCCTGCCTGCTGCCTACCTCTGGATCTCTGTCTGGTGTCAGAGTCAGTGCCTAGAAGTAAATGTCTTACCAGTGACAGCCAGCTAGGCCTCCCTGGGGATAAAACATTTTAGCACTTCATAAATTTCTAACAAAGTTTCAAATCGCAGTGGTTTCCACCCTCTCTCTGCTCCAGCGGCTTTGACCAGCAAAGATATACACTCAAACACTCCAAACACACAATCATGCGTGCACACACACACAATAAAAACTCATAATTACACAAATAAAAACTGCAAAAAATACTATAAGTTGATTTTTTTATGTGGGAATCACTGAGTATCCATAGCTAGGTTTCCATCCAATTGACGACAGATTTTCATGTGAATATTCTAAAATCCGCATAAAGAAAATTGTGTATTTTCCCACCAGTGGTGTGTTTGCACCAAACTGACTTGTTGCGGATAAAAATCAGTGCATGATGACAAGTAGTCCACACAAAATGTACTTTTTCGTTTAAGTTTTCATGTACCGAATACAAATCTAAATTTGAATATGTTTCTATCGCATTTTCAACTCTACCGATAGTTTTGTCACAAATGTGCCTACTCTGGTCTTGGCACGTGCGCTCTAGCGAACAGCTCGCAGATACAGTGTGGGTAGGGTAGTCTACATTATGAGATTATTATGGATAAGAGCAAGATTCTTTTTTTGTCAAACGGCAGCCAAGCAACGATCATCACGCCACCAGAATAAGACCATCGATATGAAAGGAGCATAAAGCTCATCACCAGGGAACTTTCACCACTCTGTGAAGTTCATCATAACTTATTTCATCTGTATCCTAATAAACTGCATGGTTTTCCAAGTCGTAGTGGGAGGACCACACACCATATCATCGCATGACTCCAAGTTTACTTCGATATGATGGTTATTATATAAATATTTGCGCACAAAGGTATTTCCACCGCCATTTCTCGCGTAATACATTTTACAGACAAAAAAAGATCCCACCATGTCGAACGAACAAATTATCTGTCTGCATTTATACTAATTTGTACCGAAACTTCCATATTGCTCTACTCAGCGGTTTCTGATGTGAGAGTTTCTGTTCAGTCCAGAGGTAAGTTGACATCACTGGTAGCCACTCTGACTTATCAGTTGATCCCAATTGCTGTGGTAGGCGTTAAAGAAAACGCACTCCTGTATAATCAGTGGCTCATCCATAATTGTATTTCTAATGGCACACTATGAGTCAGTCATACAGTGTTGTCTATGGCAGAGAGGCGGCCTGAGAGAATCCCTGGCTGTGACTAAGCTCATTCCTTAATGGGTGATGGAGGCGCTAGCTGAGCATTAGCCTCCTCAGATTGATCAATCTGTCAATGGCAGCCATACACACAGAGGATAGGGATGACTCATGATGCACACCCACACTTTCACAGACACTTAAGGGTATCCTGAGTCTAGCTGTGTTACGCCCATGACTTCCAACAGAGGGCTACCCAGGACACTGATTCTTGCCCTCATTTGCTTGTGCTCTCTCCTCTCTCTCTCTCTCTCATATCAAGGCTCCGTTTATGACTGATTGATTCTGTCCTGTTTGTGGTCCTAGCAACATAGCTGCAGGAAGGTTTGAATTTTGTCTAGGATGGACCTAGGCTTATCTATTGAAGCCCATCATGATTTGCCCAATAATAAATAAATAACATTGATTGAGAAAAAAAGACTAGTTCTATCAAGGGTGTGCCTGTTTAAATCTTCTAACACTTATGGTGGCAAAAATTACTGTAATAATGTTTATCCAGTGTATCTATGCATTTAATTAAAGTCATATGATGTACTAATGAGACTTGCTCCCAACACTTCCCCTTTGTCTACGTAACTGACTCATGGTTTTGCACTTACAGACAAAATGCTGTTATTCCATATCCTGTTATTTATCAGTAGACTGAACTAAGCTGTAAGAGACGAGCAGGACAAATGTTTTCGGTTCCTTTTAGAAACAGTGTAGAGACAATGAGCATTGAGAAAAGACCTCACCACAGACCACCCACAGATTATCAGTTGCATAGTCCTTTGACTGTACATTAAGGTCACCAACCAGTACTTCCTCACTGCTATTGTTCTGTCTGTTTGTCACACCACCCAAAGGGGGGTTGTACTTTTTCTTATAAAAACGGAGACCCAACTCTTTTTCGTTGGGCTCTTAACTCTGCACCTGTGTGATTGTTAACTGCTCCAGAATTGCAATTCTTATAATAAAATAAGTTGTTTCAAGAATCTACAGTCTCTCTTCCTTTCTGGTTAGAATTTCCACCACACACTAGTGACACAAGAAGTCCTTTCCAGTCATTTCATACAGAAAAAACACTGACGATGTGATTCGTGTGATAGAAGGAGTCAGGCGCAGGAGAGTAATACGCATCCAAAGAGTTTATTCCGTTGATAAACAGTTGCGCAAGCATGCGACAACAAAACTCAGGCACAAGGGAAATATCTACCCTGGCAACAACAAGGTAAGGGTAGCTCAACCGAGCTACACACCGCTCACTACAAACAATCACCCACACAGACAAGGAAGCAGAGGGAACAATTATACAATGACTAATTGGGGATAAGGACCAGGTGTGTGTGATTAATTAGACAAGACAAGTGGAGTGATGATAAATGGATCGGCAGCAGCTAGTAAGCCGGTGTCGACGAACGCCGAAACCTGCCCGAACAAGGAGGGGAGGCAGCCTCAGCGGAAGTCGTGATATTACCACCCCCTTGACGCATGGCTCCAGCAGCGCACCGACCCCGACCTCGGGGACAGCCAGGAGGACGCGGAGCAGGGCGAGCCGGATGGCGACGGTGGAAATCCCGTAACATGGAGGGATCGAGGATATCCCTCACCGGAACCCAGCACCGTTCCTCCGGACCGTACCCCTCCCACTCCACGAGGTACTGAAGGCCCCCCACCCGACGCCTCGAATCCAGGATGGAACGGACAGAGTACGCCGGGGCCCCCTCGATGTCCAGAGGAGGTGGAGGGACCTCCCGCACCTCAGACTCCTGGAGCGGACCAGCTACCACCGGCCTGAGGAGAGACACATGAAACGAGGGGTGAATATGGTAATCAGGGGGAAGTAATAACCTATAAGTGACCTTGTTGACTCTCCGCAGAACTTTGAACGGCCCCAAAAATCGCAGGCTCAGCTTCCGGCAGGGCAGGCAGAGGGGCAGATTCTGGGTCGAGAGCCAGACCCGATCCCCCGGTACAAAGACGGGGGCCTCACTGCGGTGGCGGTCAGCGTTGGCATTCTGACGACGCACGGCGCGTTGGAGGTGAACGTGGGCAGCATCCCACGTCTCCTCCGCCCGCCGAAACCAGTCATCCACCGCAGGAGCCTCGGTCTGGCTCTGGTGCCACGGTGCCAGAACCGGTTGGTAACCTAGAATACACTGGAAAGGCGTTAAGTTAGTGGAGGAGTGGCGGAGAGAGTTCTGGGCATATTCTGCCCATGGCAAAAACACCGACCACTCCCCCGGCTGGTCCTGGCAGTATGACCGCAGGAACCTACCCACGTCCTGATTTACCCGTTCCACCTGCCCATTACTCTCGGGGTGAAACCCAGAGGTCAGGCTGACTGAGACCCGGATAAACCTCCGATAATAGTTGGAAAGGCCAAGGAAGCGCTGCACCTCCTTAACCGTGGTTGGAGTCGGCCAATTACGCACAGCTGAAAT